CCGCGTGGAGGTCAAACTAACATGGTGAATAGCCAGCAATAGGTTCATTAGTCCACATAACTAACAATCGCAGCCCCTCAGATGGCCTCCTACATTTCGTTTTGTATATTTGAATCAAACATGCCTAGTATCTAAGCCTCTCCTCTCATTCAGGGAGACATGGTTTGTTAACGATGTTACCATCACCGGATAGAGAAATTGACACAATGAATTTCAAATACAAGTCCTTAGGGGAAGGGGATTGTTAGTAATGTGGAATCATACCCCCATTACTAGCAATGTACCATGTCAGGTTCACCTCAGACCTCCACGCGGTTCCCCCTGGGAATCATCGTGATAAATTTCTGGTGAATTTGTCACGATGGGCTAACTGACCTGACCTCATGCTCATCTTATCATCCTCCACTGGTGCCCCGCCAGCGTAGACCGTTAGCGCAGACGGTGCACCATTCCATTATCATCCATAAAAAAAAGAACAAGTTCTTATATATTTCATTGTCTTGTAGTAAAGCAGATATGTTTAAGTATTCAACAATTGCGAGTGTATGAAATCATCACGTTACCTTGGCACTACCTTATATGATTGTTTTACTTTGCTCAATCGTGTCTTTGTATTTCATAATAATATATTATTGAACAAGCTGAACCCGCGACTTTGTCCGCGTGGAACTTATTTTTCTAAAATAAAAGTAGCCTAAATTACAACTTATTACATCAGCTACCTGCTTATAAAAGTCCCGTCAAAATCGACCCAGTCATTTCAGAGATTAGCCGGAACAAACAGACAGACAGAGAAAAATTATAAAAAATGATATTTTGGTGTATGTACCGTATTTATTATTATTTACCTAATATGCATATAGTAAAAAACGGTTATTTCAAATATTACAAACAGACACTCCAATTTTATTTTATGAATAGATGTGCTCATAATGTTACCATTTATTTGATTTTTTTCCTAAAATAATGAAAAGTAATTAATAAGTGTCAGTACAAATTTTTTGTCAGTACAAAGGTTTATGAGTTTGGATGGATGAATGGATATCCATCATCCATCCAGATGTTTATTACTCTTTCACGCAAAAACTACTAAATGAATTTTAATGAAAATTTACAATTATGTACCTAGCTGTGACCAAAATGTGAAGGATAGAGACCAAGACGACGAGCAAAGAAAACGGTGGTATAGTCGTAAAATATTGTGTAATAATAACTTATGTCATATAAAAACAATATATTATTTCAAAAAAAAACATAAACAATAAAAAATAAGGTATAAAATATAAAAATAGTTCGCAACAGTAGCTTATACATCAGAATAACACAGAGGCTATTAACTTCACGCGGTGAAACCACGGGCAGAGCTATTGTAAACAGTGTTAAATCAATCTTTGTAATGTATTGACGAAAATAATACTTGATTTTTTTTTATTACACCACAATTTAAGACGGGATGGGGAGTCGAGAAAGTGAGTAAAAGAATAACAATAGAAGAATAAAGAATTTTGTTTACAGAATACAAAATCTGTACATCTATACATATAAATAAAATTGGAGTGTCTGTTTGTAATATTGGTTAAACCGTTTTTTATTACATGCATATGAATATATATACAGTACACATACCAAAATAACATTTTTTATAATTTTTGTCTGTCTGTCTGTCGGTCTGTTTGTTCCGGCTAATCGCTGAAATGACTGGACCGATTTTGGCGGGAGTTTTTTTACAGCTGATGTAATAAGGAGTAACTTAGGCTACTTTTATTTTAGAAAAAAATATATACAAATAAATTACACGCGGACGAAGTCTAGTAAAATATAAATATGTTAAAAGAGTTTCACAACATGGAGGAGTCATAAAGTTAAAAAATCGTGAAATCTAGGACCGCTTATCCTAGGGTTAAGATTATGTGACATCAAATTTCAATCTTACTGTTTAAACACCATTTTAACTACAACAGTGTGACCAAGCCGTGTTCGGGAGTGGGGGGAAAGATTGAAATTGACGAGACGTAATCTATATATGGCCGTATAAAAATAAGTGGTACACAATGAAATACAACGGCGAAATATCCTCCTAAAGTAGTCAATAGAACCCAATTGGGTTTTGTAACGTCCACAATATACCCGTACAGACACGTCTCCAGATCATTCATCTCCAAATCGCAGGTCAGAGCAATGTATCTTAAATTATTAATACTATGTGCTGCCACAAATTTAGTGAACACTAAGAGTGTTCACCTCGGACAAGTGACTGACCAAGATGGTGTTAAAAAGGTTTACGAAGGTCTCATAAAGGCGGGCGGGTCACTACTCATGAAGACAGTCAAAACAATGGCCTTCGAGTATCCTGGAGAGGAGAAGATCAAAGGAATTGTGATTGAGGATTTAGATGGCGGACGAGCTCAGCCGGCGATTAGCCGTGGCGGCTTGGGATATAATTTCGTCAATCTCAAGTTTAAAAGTGAAAGAGGCTCAGGATTTAGGTTTCTAGTTGAAATATATATGTGATATGTGTTACTTTGATGTAATTATTGCTATTGTTATAAATGATATATCTTACATATTGAATTAAAACGTCGTAAAAGGTATAAATAATATAAAGCCTAATGCTAGTGTTACTAATGGACTCTAAAAGTGTATTAAAGAAGCTAAATAGAATATTGAACATAATTATTAAATGTTTTACACCAAACTAGTTGACTCGCGCAAATTCTTCTGAATCACACTGATCGTTATATTTTGCCAAATTTGCATAATTACTTTTTAATTTATAGCCTATATGTTATTCTGATATATAAGCTATATTACTGTAAAGTTCCATCAAAAACCGTTCAGTAGTTTTTGCATGAAAGAGTAGCAATCATCCATCCATACTCACAAACTTTTGCGTTTATAATATAAGTAGGATATGCCAGTACAGGATCAATTTTGTATTAAAATTCCAAATAAACCAGAACGAAAATTTAAACAAAGTTTTGATGAGTTATGCTATCTAAAAATCAGACTCATTTACGGGATTGCTTTAAGATGATCAATAGTTGAAGCACAGTTGTTCCTGTTGATTGCATGTTTATTGTATAATATTTTGTTTATTTTTTATAATCTTAAATTATTATTTTTTTGGAAATACAAGTCAATCTATTTGAATGTTAAATTATCTAATAGTATAACCATTATCCTTTTAGAAGATAAACTATTGTTTAAAACTGTTTAAAAATTATTAAATTACAAAATATTACGAGCATTATCTACCAGTCCTTTACCAGTACGATGAACGATTATTTTTAAAATGTTTTTAAATTTTGTAATTATAAATTACTTCGTATTTAATGAGCTTTTATAATATTTAATAATCATAAATGTTTTATTTATGTTTCTTTTATTTATAAATTAGGAGCTGTGCTGTTTACTGTTGAGCTCTATTACTGGTGTTGGGTAGTTTCATTTGATTTATAATTATTAAATAGTTAATATATATTATTTATATGTAATGTCCATTTAAAATAATAACTCTTATTTTATTCATTTGTGGTAATTAAATAGTTGTGTTCCTATATTGTTGAATGTTGATATAATAGTGGAAAACAGTCGTAAATTATTTACGTATGTTGTTTTATTTTCCTTATGCAATCCGTCATTCTGTAGGAATATAGAAATTAATGTATGTACTAATATAATATACACTAGTTGAACCAATAAACGTTGTTTTGCTAATAAATTGATGTATCGCTATAAAAAAATAGGGGTTGATTGTAAAAGGGTGAAAATTTGCAGTTATATGTATTTTTTAATGCTAAGTCATAATAAAATAAATAGAAAAATATTTGAAAAAAAAATAATTAAAATTAATACAAATTTCGAAAAAAATTTAGGGGTGGGTCACCCTTATCATTGAGGGGTATGAAAAATAGATGTTGGCCGATTCTCAGAACTGCATTTCCACTTTCAACCCCTTACAACCCTTTTTTTTTCACATTTAAAAGTAGCCTATGTCCTTCTTCGGAGTCTAAACTATGTGCGTACCAAATTTAATTTAAATCGGCTCAGTAGTTTTGGCGTGGAAGCGAGACGAATTAGTAAGGAGTAAGGAAATAAGGATTATTAATATAGTTAAACTGAGTTTTAACAACAATAATTTTATGGTAAGTAAAGTTATTTACCTAGGTTGCACTAGCCGTGGTCAGAGAGAAATATATACTTTTGTTATGGTGATCTTGACCAATTTTTATATTTAATCGACAGTCTAAAATATAATTTTCAAGCTTATAGCTTTAAAAATGGCAATACTTCCATACCAACTTTCATCTCCCTGTTCAACCCCTTACAACCCCTTTTTTCGCATTAAAAATTAGCCTATGTCCTTTCTCAGGGTCTAAGCTATGTGCGTACCAAATTTAATTTAAATCGGTTCAGTAGATTTGGCTTAAGCGAGACAGACAGATAGTTAAACAGACGAGAGATAGAATATTAACAAGGACTTTTTTTTTCAAATTCTACCTTGCTGAAATTAAATGATTAATTTGCAAAATATTGGTACAGTAAATATGATGTTACACGATATGTTGATCAGCAATATTCACCACATAGGCATGCAAGTTATGTGGAAGTGTTTGTTTTACTTAAATATTCTTGGACACTGTAAGGATTGTCAAGTGACGACCAATTCTTTAGTTTCCGTTTGAACAATTATGTGATCTCAGTTCCTTAATCTCTCTTGGAAGATTGTTGTACACTTTGTTTGCCATACAGTATACATTTCTCTTATGTAAGTCTAATCGACACATTGGTATAGTTTATCATTAGGTCTACATGAAATTACAATAATTACTTAATAGAATAGAATAGAATAGAATAGAATAGAATAGAAAATCATTTATTCAAATAAACATACATTGAAGCACTTTTGAATAGTCATTACATTTTTTAATCTACCGCTCGTTCGGAAAGCTGTCTCATCACAAGAAGAAGAAGAAGAATAAATTACAATATTGTTGCAGGCGTACTAAAAACTCGCCTGGACATGGAAACGTCATACTCTTCAGTAGAGCACCGCACGAACAACTCGTATGTGGACAGTAAGCTGCGACTGTTCGTCACCTTCATAAGGAGCAACGACGTCTCCAGAACCATGGTTGAACAGTTCCGAAACTGGTACGTTAGAAGGTTTGGTTTTTATACCACTATGGTGGCAAACAAGCATACGGCCTCTCTGATGGTAAATGGTTACCGTAGCCTATGGACCCTGAAGTACCGGGGGTTTACTTACGCGTTGCCGACCCTTAACAAACTTTAATATACCCTTCTTAAAAAATCTCATGCTGTAATCTCGTGAGAAAACCTCGGCAGGTAGTTCATTCCATAATCTAAGTGTACGCTGGAGGAAGTTCGTCTGAAACCGCACTGTCCGAGACCACTTAGGTTCTAGTGTGGGGATGAATTCCCTGTCGATGGCGAGCGGTTCGATGGTAGCTGTGGGCATCATGTCGAACAATTCTCAGAACACAGTTCGTTGTCTGGGCAGGGATAAATACGAGCGGTGAAGGTGAGTGTTGAAGTATGTCGGCAAAGAGCTTTAAAACGACACCCGGGTTACAAGTCCTGGGAACTGTTCGGAGTGCATTCTCTACTACACGTTGGATCGGTGATAGCACGGTGATTCCATGGAGTGCTAAGAAGTTTTTCGCACAATAGTTTATTACGCAACAAAAGCATATAAATTTACGGCCTACTTAATGAAAAATACATAAATGACATATAAATAAATAAAAAAAAACAGCCTTAGCACCATGTTTGCCATACCATCCTGATCATATGGATGAAAGCCGGTCCTCTCGTGCATTCTTCCAGAAACTTTTTGCCACCCACAACCACATTGTGGAATCATCTTCCAGCAATGATACGATATTGAAACCTTGAAGAAAAAAGCTTATTCCTTCTTAAAAGGCCGGAAACGCATTTGTAAAACCTGTGTTTCAGGTGCTTACGGGCGGCGGTAATTACTTACCATCAGATGAGCCCCAAGCTCGTTTGACCCATATGCTATAAAGAAATATTTAGTACAAATTACATTAAACTTAAAGTATATCACGGTAAATTGTTTATTCACAGGCAACGTTCCGACAAGCCTCCGTCAGTCATAGTAGCAACTACCGGCTTGCAACTACTGAAAAATCGAAATACAACCGACTTAGTGCTGGAGGAGTACAAAAGAAACCTTACTCACTTGGTACAAGCTATAGATTCGCTCGCAGCACGAAACACTCAGGTGCTGTGGAAGCTGATGGAATCGGTGGAGACATCCAAACTCAAGACGGACTTGACAAAGATCAGCAATGTTGATATAGAGGCGTACAATCGAGCTGCAATAGAGGTATGTATTTTTTTTGATAATGATGTCGATTAAATGTCTTGCATGTATGGATGTAGTTATGTGTGGACTGCACGGATGCATTACAAATCTTTGAAAATCTCGACTTGTTCTGTATTATAATAGGCATGTATTATACATATAAATCTTCCTCTTGAATTACTCTATCTATTTAAGAAAACCGCATTAAAATCGGTGAAGCAATTTAAAAGATCTAAACGAAATGACAGCGGCGACGACTTTCTTTTATACTATGTAAAGATTATATAATAAATAGGGATCCCTTATTTATTTTTAATACTGAAGTACTTACTTTAATAATGTCAAATGTCAAAAATGCCATAAAATATCTTTCATCGCCATCGGGACGTTAGATATATATTTTTTATAACTATATTTGTATAAAAATTAAATAAATATTTTTGTTTAAAAATTATTTAAACAAAAATATTTATTTTAAATAATACAAATTCTGAAGGATATGATGAAATATGTACAAAAATAATAAAAGACAGCATCGACGAGATAATAGATGTTTTAACTCACCTAATTAATTTATCTTTCTCAAGCGGAACGTTCCCTGAGCTTTTAAAAGCATCCATAGTAAAACCCCTTTATAAGAAAGGTAATAAAGATGATATGGCAAATTATCGTCCAATCACATTAATACCAATTTTCTCAAAGATCTTTGAAAAATGCATGTTGACGCGATTAATGGATTTCTGTAACAAATATGAAATAATTTCAAAAGACCAATATGGGTTCCAAAAAAATAAGTCGACAACACTTGCCTCATTTTCTCTCATAAAAACAATTTTGACAAATATAAACGACAAAAAATACACTACAGCTGTATTTTTCGATCTTTCAAAAGCTTTCGATTGTGTATCCCACAAAGTATTGTTGAATAAACTGGTAAACGTTGGAATAAGAGGCCTTGTCCTGGATTGGATAGCTTCTTATCTTAACAATAGAAAACAATGTGTAACAATCACAAAATTGGATAAATATAATATTGTCACACCTTATTCTTCTGGATACAGATCAAATAAATATGGAGTTCCACAAGGAAGTATATTGGGGCCCATACTATTCTTACTGTATATTAATGATTTAATTGAAATAACTACAAATAAATGCATTGTCTTTGCAGATGACATTTCTATTATAGTAACTACTGATAAAAAATATAAAACATTGAAAGACCACGAAATTGATATAAATGAAACTATAACCCTAATAATTAAATGGCTTGACATGAATAATTTGACAATAAATGTAAATAAAACTAATTATATTAATTTTAATAAATTGAAAAATGAAATCTGTCATCTTAATGTTAACTACAGAAATATACAAATTGAATCAGTTAATGAAACAAAATTTTTGGGTATAATGATAGATCAACAACTTAATTGGACAAAACAAATCGAAAATATTAGTAACAAAATTAATAAGTTTATATATGCAATGAAGCGTGTTAAAAACATAACGAACAGAAAGACTGCACTCACTGCATATCATGCATACGTGGAATCTGTACTGCGTTATGGACTATTAATATGGGGAAATGGTACAAATATTAATAGGGCATTCATTGCTCAAAAAAAGTGTATTAGAGCATTGTGTGGTCTTGCACCGTACGAGTCATGTCGAACACGTTTCAGAGAACTTGGACTACTGACACTTCCATCGCTTTATATATATGAGGTAGCTGTTTTTGTAAAACAAAATTTAAATTCATTTACGAAAGCAAAGGACATTTATCCAAGAAATACCAGAAATCCTAATAGATTGGTACTTGCTAAAACCCATACAATGACACAGTACACAAAAAACTGTGAAAATATGTGTATAAGAATTTATAATTGCATTCCTGAGACATTAAAGACGAATAAGAAAATATTATTTAAGAAGACATTACGAGAATGGTTAAAAAATAAGGAATTTTACAGTTTAAACAATTTTTTTGACAATGTATAAATACCGACTAGAGAGAACCTATTTAACTATTATTATAATTATTATTATTATTTCTTTCTGTATAGTTAATTATGCATAATTTTAAACAATACTATTTTGCATGCCATTACTATGGCAAAACACATGATACTAAGTTTTAATTACCATCTTTTATACTGTGTTTTTTAAGCAAATAAATTATTATTATTATTATTATTATTATTATTTCTAAAATCTAAAATGAAATCAATATGGATTTTTCATTTCACCTAAGACTTGAGTACACATTATTTACCCTTTCTCTTTGTCACATTCGGATAATTAACCGTTATTAACCGCATTTTCTCGGTAGCTAACCACAAATTTGGTTAAGTAACGGTTTTTTTAAATATTCGACATGGCCTGTCTACGATTCTGTATAAGTATTTTTTTTAGATCTTAACACACAGTGCGGTCAAAGTGTGGAGTTCTCCGCGGTTGGTGTCCAGCGGCGCGGCCGGCGACGACGGCGTGTCCCTCAGTCGCACTGCGCTGAGGCACTCCGCGCAGATCCTCCTGAACATGTTCTGTAACGACCACATGAACTTCAACGACGGCTCGTGCTGCGCCCAGCCCGAGCCCTACACGCAGCTGCAGATATGGACCTTCGCGTTGTTCCTCTTGTGGTGAGCAAAACATCATAATATATCAATATAATATATACATATATATTATTGTAATGTAGTACATATATAGTTCCTAAGTAAAAGAATTTCTCAGTCATTAGATATAGAAATAGAAATAATCTTTATTCAAATAAAGTAATTACAAGCACTTTTGAATAGTCATATTTTGATTCTACCACTCATTCGGAATGCAGATTCATCACAAGAAGAATGAGCAAGAAACTTGTGTGTTGCTCTTATTAATAGATGTTTTTTTTTTATATAAATAATTACATTAAGAAGGATAATGAAGACCCTTATGAAGTCCTTTTCTGTTTAGCGAAAATATACTAATAATGTTTTACTTATTTAAAGATTTTTAATATGGCAGTTTTAGGCCAGAGGCATTATTATTTGTCGTCTAATTTATAGGTATTGTAGAAGATGTTTATAGTAGCAATAATGAGAAAGAGGGGTAGGCACATAATGTGTTTCGATATTAGCGAATTAATTTTATTTTTTTTTCAAGTAAGGGGAGCTTGTTTTATGGTTATTAAACAACTGATATCAATACTTACTTTTTTTTGTAAATACATACATAATATACATAGATAACACCTAGATTGATACAAACAATCACACTCATGAATACAAATGTTGGTATCGGTGGGCGATCAAACTCATAACCTCCGATGGTAGCCTGTCAATTTAGCTAAACCTCATCACCAAGTTCTCTCTTTAGTCTGCGCTTTATAAAATTGCAATAAATTTCTTCTAGCGCAGTGTACGCACTAGTACGGAGCGCTCGATCCAAGTGGACAGCGTGGAGGAGGCCCCCGGGGGCTGCGGGGCCCCCGTGCGGGCGGGGCGGGCCCCGCGGGGCTCCAGGAGCGGGCCCCGCGCGGTGCGTGGGCCCCGCGGGCCCCGCAGGTCCCTCCCCGGCCGCGGCGCTGGCTCGCCTCGGCGCCATCATGGCGTACTTCTACCTGTGTGACCGCACCAACTTCTTCATGAAGGAGAACAAGTATTACTCCGAGTGGAGCTTCTGGCTCCCAGTTGGTTACGTGTTCGCGCTGGGATTGTTCTTCACAGAAGCCTCGAGGTCAAGCAAGTGAGTAGTAATTTGTGTCTTATGTATTCTGATATTATAGTTGATTTTTGACAAATCTATATTCATACAGTTGTATGAGTTCTGACAAAAATTCTTCGCAACTAAATCTACATTCCGAATGTAGTGGTACAGAAAAAGTTATATTCAAATTAATTGTGGTATAAAACAATTTATTAACTGTTATGATTATTATTGAGATATTTTAGATGTACCTTTTTTAATATGTGTAATATTGTTCTTCATATATTCTTATTAAATAATGCCTTTTATTCTGTATACCAATGTTTGGGGTACGACCTTCTATGGCGTTCGTTATGTTTAGACAAGGGCTATTCGATATTTAAAAAATATAAAAAAAAAAGTTACATAAAAAAAAAATTAAAATCATAAAAATAACATTAAAAAAAACCCGTTCATGTCAGTTCTTCTCAACTGAAGTAGCTATTCAAACTGGACGATAGGGTGATAAAAATTATAACTTTCCTAAATAGCTGAATTTACCAAAAGTGCCGAAAGGCCGTATAATTGTTTGCTATGTTATAATAGCATATTTGAATAAATGATTCTTTATTTACACATGTTTATAATGACATTACAGAATTCTTCATAGAGAACAAACAGATGAATGGAAGGGCTGGATGCAGCTGGTCATTCTGATATACCAGGTCACCGGAGCTAGTAAAGTACTACCGATCTACATGCTAGTGCGCGCACTCGTCTCCGCCTACTTATTCCTCACCGGCTACGGCCACTTCTACTACACGTGGAACACCGGAGACACCGGTTTGGTCAGATATTTCCGGGTCATATTCCGACTCAACTTTCTGACCGTAGTGTTATGTCTGACCATGAACAGGCCGTATCAGTTCTACAGTTTTATACCACTCGTCTCGTTTTGGTATACTTTGGTAAGTTCCAACATTTATGAGATACTTGCTTATTGGCAATTATAAGATTTTTTTAGATTCTTCCAATAGCTGTCTTTACATGCAGCTCTTTTATGCACAGGAAAGAACGAGGATGCTGCTTAGCTTGACGGTACATGGCGTTGTGTGAATTGACCTGAGTTATTATATGCTTATATCTCTTGACTCCCTACAAATATTTTAATTTCTACTCTTATTGTCTTGTTTCTTTTCTCTTGGAGGCTGTGGACGTATCAATAGCAACTCCATCCATAATAGAAGGCAAAACAAAAATACTTTTTTGGACCATTTTATTATATTCCAATAAAAACTAGCTTATTTCCATCAGATGTTCGTGATCTTTGCCCTTCCGCCGCACATCACCCAAGCCTCCAGTCACACAGTGGAGTCGAGACCGTACCAATATCTGTACATAACATTGAAAGTCATCGGTCTACTCACCATCGTCACAGTGCTGTACATGAGCGAGGTGTTCTTCCAGAAGATCTTCGTGACCAGACCATGGAAGGCGCTATTCGTCAACGCCGATGATGATATCCACCAGTGGTGGCTCAGGTGGAAGCAGGACAGGTATCTTTATTTTCTTATCTACACATTCTAAAATCATCTTTATATCGTTAGCTTTAAAGTCGGTTTCCTGAGAGCCGCTTTTACACGTACGCTCCCAAAGGCTTACAAAACGCTTACAATATTAAAGTGGACTTTATAGTGTTCGCATTAAAGTAGACTTCCTAATATATGGAATGAGGGACTCTTACTTGTCATATGATTTCAAATTCGACTTTAACGTTTTACCTTTATTGTAAATTTTCTAATGTATCAAATAATAGATATTGTGTTGTTTTCAAATATTAAAAATGGACTTTATTGTTTTGGCAATAAAATTTATTTTCTAAGTATTTATTAGATGTGTCCTGTAGTAAGTATCGTCCTGTTGACAGGTATTCGGTAGCTTGCGGTGTCACGTTCGCACTGGCCCGATTGGCTGCGGGTGGCGCGAGTACTGGCGTCAGTATTGTCGCGAGTACTGGCGCAAGTGCTGGAGCGGGCGCGTTACTGGCGCTGGCGGCTCTGGCCACTTACCTCGCGTTTGCGCTGCTCTGCTCTAGTGCCGTCGACTGCGATGAGGTATGATACCCATACTTTTTCTATAATATCTTAGGTTGTGTCACACAGCGCCATCAAGTGCCGAACTAAGCAGAGCTTGTGTTATGGGAACTAGAGAACTGATATGAATACATAGATATTTTTTGTAAATATATACATAGAAAACATCCGGACCGACACAAACAACCAAACTTAAGAAAACAAATTTTGCCGTGCTATGAATCGAACCCGCGACCTTCGGAAGTAAGACGGCGTGCTAAACCGCTAGACCATCGCCATCGTCATCGATTATTCATTCATTAGCCGCGCTCTTGTCACTAGAGGTTTTTTCATTTTCTATGTTTTACATCAATAGTTGTTGATACGACATGACTTCAACTTTTTCCTCGATTTATAAACTAAGATAGTGGCAAACAAGCATACGGCCTATCTGATGCTAAATCGCCTGAAACAGCAGGAGTGTCACGTGAGCGAAAACCTTTTTGAAATATACCCTTTTTGAAAAACCACAAGCAATAGTCTTTCGAGAAAACCTCGGCAGGTAGTTCATTCCACTATTTAAGTGTACGCGGGAGGAAGCTCCGTCTGAATGAAACTAACTTTTTCTCTGATTTCTTTATTCCTATATTCCGTCGATTATATGTAAAACTAGCTTTTGCCCCCGGCTTCGCTCGCGTTATGTTTGTATTATCCCCTTAGGGATGGAATTTCTCAAAATCCTTTCCTAGGGGATGCCTACGTCATAATAGTTTTATGCATGCAAAGTCTCAGCCCGATCGGTTTAAAATTGACAAAGTTTCATACACAGTTTCATCCCCTATTTTATCCCCTTGGGGGTAGAATTAATCAAAATCCTTTCTTAGCCTACGTCATAGTAGCTTTATGTATGCAAAGTCTCTGCCCGATCGGTTTCAATTGACGAAGTTTCATACAAACTTTCATCCCCTATTTTATCCCCTTGGGGGGTACAATTAATCAAAATCCTTTCTTAGCGGATGCCTACGTCATAACATCTACCTGCATGCCAAATTTCAGCCCGAACCGTCCAGTGGTTTGGGCTGTGCGTTGATAGATCACTACGTCAGTCACCTCTGAGTTATATATATTTAGATTAATTATATAATATTTTGATTTCCAGGTGCACAGTTACGCAGCTTTCGTGCCAGTAGTAGCATATATAATACTAAGAAACTTATCGCCGGGGCTTCGTTCCCGACACTCAGCAATGTTTGCATGGGTGGGAGCTGTGTCATTAGAACTGTTTGCCAGTCACTCCCACATCTGGCTGGCTGCTGACACTCATGGCGTCTTAGTGCTAGTTCCAGCAGCACCAGCATTGAACCTACTCATCACGTCGTATATCTTCGTATGCGCAGCCCACGAGATACATGCCTTAACAGCTGTCGTTCTGCCATACGCCGTGCCCGATGATTGGAGGCTGGTGATAAGGAATTTCGCAATATTTCTAGCGATTTTAGTGCCGATTGGTATACATGATGGTATGTTCTAGGTTACTGTATGATAGTGTAAAAAGTAGTAATATATATATATATATATTCTTGATTTGAGAAATATATACGTTCTTAATTTTGGGAGAATAGAGTGAATATACCAACATATTTACGTTATTGCAATTTTGTTAAAAGGAAATAGTCATATAGGGCTTTCGTAACAGACCAGTCCTATTTATAGTATATATGTATATATATTAAAGTAGTAATAATATCCCTGGACAATTAACACAGCGCCATCTAGTCCCACGGTAAGCAGAGCTTGTGTTATGGGTATTACACAACATATAGATATACTTAGATATTTGTTTTAGTAAATACATATATAATATAGATAGAAAACCCCCAGAAACAATAATATTCATGAATACAAATATTTGCACCGTGCGAGGTCTCGAACCCGCGATCATCGGAAGTAAAGCGGTGTGCTAAACCGTTAGAACATCGTAAAATGTTGAAGAACTTAAAAAATTGCAATAATTTTTAATATATACTTATTTTGTAATGTGAATTTTAGATTTTTTTTGCCATTAAGTATATGTTAAGTGTACTTAGTAAAATGACTTAATACAACAAAATAACTAAAATCAAACTATAAAATCCTTATTTCCTTACTAATATTATAAAAGCGAAAGTAACTCTGTCTGTCTTTCTTTCACGCCAAAACTACTGAAGCGATTTAAATGAAATTTTGGTACACTGTTTTCATCCAATTGTCTAGACACAGAGTAAGGATATAGGCTGCTCTTTAATGCGAAAAAAGGGTTGTAAGGGGATGAAAAGGAAGATGAAAGTTTGTATGGAAGTTACGTCATTTTTAAAGCTAGAAGCTTGAAACTTATTTTTTAGGCTGTTGATTAAATATAAATAAATATGACATACTAATTTTGTAAAAATGTTACCCTTAAGGGAGTAATATAAAATAGGGCATGAAAGTTTGTATGGAATATCTTCATTTTTTAAGCTGGAACTATGAAACACAACATTTAGTGGCCCTCCCACAAAATGTCTTTGTAATTCTCCCTTACCCTTTTACCAAGACATGACACCTTATCGTGTAGAAAGGGTTGTCGCCTGAATTTAGCAATATGTGGGCTGATTACTATATAGCACACTAAACACATTAGTGTATTTCTTTACCACCACTTCGATATTGCACATGAGAAGCAGGTCATCTGCCAGAAGAACACTTTTCACTCCCAAACATTACTTCAGTATTTCAGGATATCTGAGCTAGGAGTACCTTTTTAAACTTATTCTCTAGTCGTATATTGTACTTTATTTCAAATACGTGTGAATATAATAAGATTCTTTTGTATGAACATAGAATTTAATATTTTTTCTATGATATTAATTTAAATTTTAATAAAAACTGCGAATATGTTTTGTACCAATCTCGTATGTAAATATAGATTAGTAACGATCTGAAATAAATACACTGTGATTTAATATTTATTGAAATCTCGAACGCATAAGTCGAATAAATTATTGGTTCTAAACATGTGTTTTATTTACGGCCAGATGTGTTTGCTTTTTTTATATAACTGGAAGCGGCAACTGTCGTCTATATATGTAAATAATAAATATAACCCTGGCCAATTTACACAGCTCCATTTAATCCCACGCTGAGCAGAACTTGTGTACCGTGTACTAGATTACTGATACAAAAACTTAGTTTTTTTTTAAATACATAAATAATATACATAGAAAACAGCCAGATCGATACAAATAATCATACAACTTTCTCCCGAATTATGCCAGAGCGAGTATCCAAACCACAACAAAAAATAAAAAAAGTTTTTGTTGTAGTTCTGTGATCGGTAGTGCCAGAGACGCTACTCTAGGCCCGCTGGCAATACAATCGCGGTAGTCTTCATCAATTATGACAAGTTTTTTTTTTATGATAATGGAATGGTGCACCCGCCTGCGCTAACGGTTTACGCTGGCGGGGCACCAGTGGAGGATGATAAGATGAACATGAGGTCAGGTCAGTTAGCCCATCCTGACAAGCTCACCAGGAATTTGTCACGATGGTTTCCAGGGGGAACCGCGTGGAGTTCAACCTGACATGGTACATTGCGAGCAATGGGGTTATCAATCCACATTACTAACAATCCCTTTTCCTCCCTAATTATGACAAGTTTGAGACTTGGATATGAAAGTACTGATGGTATAAAACAACTTTTGTTCTACCATTTTTCCTGAAACTTATCAAGAAAAATGGGTTCAAAGTTATATGAAATAAATAGGAACGCATAAATTAAGAATTATGACTTTTCAACCACAATCAAAACCAATGTTTCTGCTACCCTGGTGCGGTGAGTTAATTTACACAGCTTAGTCACAAGAGATAAATAGGAACGCATAAATTAAGAATAGTGCTTTAATTGACTTTACAACAACAATCAAAACCAATATATGTTTCTGCTAGCCTGGTACGGTGAGTTAATTTATTCAGTCCAGCATACTCAGTGTTAGTTTGACTTTTCAACCATTATCAATACCTATGTTTCTGCTAGCCTGGTACGGTGAGTTAATTTACACAGCATACTCACAAGAGATGAATAGGAACGCATAAATTAAGAACAGTGTTTAGTAATGGACTTTACAACAGCAATCAAACACTATGTAATATGTTTCTGCTACCCTGATACGGTGAGTTAATTTATACTCACAAGAGATAAATAGGGACGCATAAATTAAGAACAGTATTTAGCAATTGACTTTACAACAGCGATCAAAATCTATACATATGTATATGTGTCTGCTAGCCTGGTACCTACCGTGAGTTAATTTTCCATCTCTTATGACCGGTGAGCGACGCATACATATGAGATAAAACTTCCCTTAATGTGATTTGGCTAGTATGTGTGCCACCTATTTAACGCCAATAGATTCTATGTGTGTATTAAAAAAACTAATTTGAAAACTACTAGGGTAACATGAATGAACAAGGTTAAATTTATTAAACGATGCTTACGTAACAGTAAGAGGGAGGGAGATGGACAACGATGCAATAGTAGAGTTTGGAGTTTGAATTAAAGGTAAGAATGAGATGCAAGATATCCAGTCGGGTACCCACTCCTTTGCAGAAACATTCAATTAACAAATACAATTGCACTTTTACTGTATAGCACGAAGGTGCAATTTGCAACTAAATTTAGTCATTAATGTGTCCCAGACAAAAAATAAATGTACATTCACTGTAGCATGGTGCGGGTGACAGTTACAGTAACGTTTCGTTTCACTTTTGAAAGTTGCCGCGATTTAAAAATTATGACTTAGTATTTCAGCTGTAGCACATTCCTAATATATTAAATCATAAATTGACTTAAATTTAAAGTCATCCGCACCATGCTACAGCGCACATATCGCACACTTATTATAATACTGGCTTAACCCAAAAATTACAGATTCTGGAAAGTCCACTTTATAACTGTGGTATTAAAGACTAATTACAAAAATTTTAATTGAATTACACCAGTACTGTACTAGATAAATTTAAATACAAAGTTTTTTAATGCCAGCTGTATTTTTTTAAGGATAATAATGGATTGAGCACCCGCCTGCGCTAACGGTTTACGCTGGCGGGGCACCAGTGGAGGATGATAAGATGAGCTTGAAGTCAGGTCAGTTAGCCCATCGTGACAAATTCACCAGGAATTTATCACGATGGTTTCCATGGGGAATCATGGAGGTCAACCTGACATGACACATTGCTAGCAATGAGATCATCAGTCCACATTACTAACAATCCCTTTTCCCCCCTGCCATCTGTATTACCTACCACGTTTAAGTTATTTTTTTAATGATAGTGGAATGGTGCACCCGCCTGCGCTAACGGTTTACGCTGGCGGGGCACCAGTGGAGGATGACAAGATGAGCATGAGGTCAGGTCAGTTAGCCCAACGTGGTAAATTCGCCATGAATTTATCACGATAGTTTCCAGGGGGAACCGCGTGGAGGTCAACCTGACATAGTACATTGCCAGTATTGGGGTCATGAGTCCACATTACTAACAATCCCTTTCCCCCCCCACGTTTAAGTTAAAGTAGTACACCACGACTATACTAGCGGTATTTAGTCTCTCAGCTGTCAATATCGTTAGGGGTAAAATAGGAAAGTAGGGAGAAGATACCGAAATAACCGTATACAAATTAACAAGCAAAATTTTATTTATTTTTATTCTTTACATTTTTTTGTGAATAAGATGTTTATAATATTGAATATACATCTTAACATATTATGCGTATAGTGTAAAACATATTTACACGAGTTCCCTTAACACTACGTTTGAAATTGAAATAAATATTTATCCCCTTATTCATAAAACGCATAAAAAACCTATTTTAACTATTGTATTGTTTTGTCATTTTTTTACGTAGCATAGCACATTTAAACTTGCGTCACATATGATGGTAAGTGATTACAGCAGCCTATGTGCACCCGCAACACTAGGGAAGTTTTTTCGGACTACTCTAATGCTGCCGCAGCTGGCCTTTACAGCTTCACCGGACGATAGGGGGCGAGTGCAGATGGCACTTCAAACCCGCGGAAGGACTTATAGCGCGGTTGAAGGCTAACTCCCGCCTTACGGATATGACTAGGGAAGTCTGGTACTCAGCCATTATAAACCGTTAACGCAGTTGGTTACACCATAACGTGCCGCAACACCGACCACGGCAATGTACCTATCCCGCCTACACTACGCTACCAAGGAACAGGACATTGTTGACTACATCCGGACTAAAAGCAACCTGACATTGAGGGTGACGCAGTTGGAATCGAGCCACAACGCGAGCTTCAAAGCGTTCGTGGCCCTGGTCCCCACCAATATGCTGCCCACCTTCATAAAGGTGGACTACTGGCCGAAGGGGGTGGTCTATCGGCGCTACCGTGGCAGATTGCCGTCGTCAGTGCCGACAATTTTATTTTTCATATTTTATTATTATTTCTTATGTATGTTAGTCTATAGACTAAGGTATTTATAATATGGGCCATGTAGCCTGAATTAAATAAATAAATAAATTACATTATTAT